GGGGTCTGCAAAAGATTGGAGTGTGATAGGAGGAAGGGAAGTTATTTACATACATTAAGAACTGATCTCTGCAGTATGCTTGATGTAACTAGTAAATCTAATATAATTTTATCAGAAGTGTTGTCACATTCTAAGTACATTTCTTCACATTGTTTACATTCTGTTGATGCAGATTCATTAAGCCATTTACGTCTAATTCCTACATGTTCAATTTTTCCATTAATGGTCACTTGGATATTCTATTGAAATTGGATAGGTCTATAAAAATGCGTGTTCAAGTTGTTTTAAAGATTGGTTAATATTTTCTGTATAAATTCAGCTGTAGGGTACATTGGGTATTTTTGTATACATGCTGTGTTGACTAATTCTTTTTGACTTTTTAAAAGTTTTGCTAAACACAATACTAAATGTTATGTAAATTTATGATCTGTAATTAAAACTTTCTTGAAGGTGATCATCATATATCTTTGTTTGGTCCACCAGTTCAATGAGAGAAATTGGTTTTGTGAGGAAAACATAATAGAGAGACTTTAAACTTGTTACCACTTCGTTTTTTGTTTCATTTTGAATTATTATTTTTTGCAACTCTTTATAACTTCTAATTTTTTTGTTAACATTATTAATTCTGTACAAAGTGATATCAAATAAAAAGTATGATTAAAATATGTTCAAGAAAGGTAAAGACCCTCCAATATAATAACAGATGGGACTATTAATAGACATAGCAATGGAATTTTGAATGTCTTATTTATTGTGAATCATTAATTTTATATTGAAAATGGAAATAAAAATAAATTTTAAATGTATTAGTTTATTACACACATAATATGGTGTTCTCCACAAGAGAAGACTATATTTTTTTTTGGAAATCTCAGTTCGACTAAAAAGTCATTTCTCTTGTTCTACATAGTTTAAATATAAACTTCATGCAATTATTTATCGTATTTAGTGTTGAAGAATGTCTATAAACTGTTTTGGCAGGATCTTGAGTGATGTAAGGTGAATATATATTGAATATTTTGTATAAAAAATACAAAAGAAAATGATCCAAGTATTTTCTGTAAGTTCAATTTTGCATTAAACATTATATCTGTATGGTACAAAAGGCTATCAACTGAATTTCCTCTTTCAGGCTATAGTTAAGAGTGATCACATTTTTTAGCGTTTTTCATCACCTTTTTTATTTCTGATTTTTTCCTTTCATAAAATCTATTTCTGTAAGCATTTTCCAAATTAAAACAGATTATAAGTATTTGCAATGTTATGCAATGTTATTTTTGAAGCAATTATCTTGCTTCAAAATAGTTCTGTTTTCACTACATGAACCAAGACACTTAAAAGTGGGTTTTGTTACAATATTTTTTTCTTCTAGAATTTGGTCAAGAAATAAGATTTTCTGTGGAATGATATTGCAATGATATTTTTCTATATAGCTTACATAATTATTGTATTGTGTTATATTGATTATTGTATACAGTGGACTTATGAAAAAAAGGTATTAAGTCTAAAATTTGGAACTAGAAACCTGCAAATTGGAACTGCATTTTTGTAATCAAGATTTTGTGGACGTTTTTCTGAAGGTTTCCTTGCTAAGTAAAGTTATTAGCAGTAAAACCTTCCAAATATCTGCACACAAAATTCTGTCTGCAAAAATGCGGTTCTCATCTACAGGGCTTGAATTCAGTGATTTTGGACTTAATACTTGGATTTTGGGAAATGGCCTGCTAGGACTATGTGGACATACACCTGCACTTACTGAGGCTCATTTACAAGTATCCCATGGCAAGTGTACTTGACTCCTTTTGGGGGGAACAGGATTCTAAGCTGAATCCAATTTTTGTCCCCCAGGGTTGCTAGTCCTGGGGAATTGGGATATGGAATGATGATGATAATAATAATGAAGGGTGAATATATAACACAAACATGCAGACATACACAAACACACCATGAGGCTGGACTCGAACGCACGATCCCTCCCTCCGAGATCGCCACAGCACTACTGCTCACTCCTGCTTTAGCGATCTTGTATATACAATTGGCTAATTATATTATGTTATATTTCATATATGTATTTCATATTTTATAATATTTAATTATTGATTTACTTCCTTCAAAGTAAAATATCCTTGAAATGTATAGATGTTAAATGTTAAGAATCTGTTATTAAAATATTTAATGTTCATTTTAAGTATATTCAGTAGCAACTAAAATTAAATACTTATTAAAATGTAAAAGTTATTAAATTTCCCTGTGTAATGAGTTCTTTTGACATCTTGTTATTATCTCGAATTTGTGAAGAATATGTAGTTAAGTAAACAAGGAATTTACGTACATTGAATCATCAGGACATTGTAAAATTGAGATTCCTGATAATACTGTTGGAAAATGCTGGCAGTAAACATTCTGTAAAGAACTGCCAGATTCAAGATTTTGTTACACAGATGTGTTATTGAAAAATAATTACTTTCATGAATGTGAATGTAGGAATTCAGCAACTGAATGATCATATTGCATCATACAGCGATTTTCCTCTTTGTATAAAAGTAGAATACATGTTATTTTTCTTAAGTTCCAAAATTGGGATGTGGATGAATTCAGAACCTTTTTTGATTTTAAGCTTTTCTGTTACTCAAGTTGTTTTTTCAAAACGACTGCTTTACAAGGCAATTGATGTGTTTAAATATGATTTTTGTTAAAATTCTATGAATGGCAAAATAATTTTTGAGTATTTTTACTTAATATGCACAAATTTTGATGATAATCTTCAGACACACATTCCAATACTTATTTTATATTGTATTTTGTTTATATAAGCAAATATGTGAAATTTTTAGTGAGAAAAATTGAACAAGTTAATTTATTTCTCCAGGCAATCCTAGAATGGAGTAACTGGTTAATAGTATTTCTTCATAATCATTGGTCATTTTGGAACTTCTCTTTATATGTATACCAGTTACCAGTTGATTCATCAAAGAATTTGGTTCCTTTGAGTTTTAGATATAATTTAGTAAAAATATTTCTATGTAAAAACTAGTAACTAAGCTATACACTTCACAACAGAAATTGAATATTACAATTGAAATGAAACCTTTAGTAAGAAGGCCAGAATTCTGTAATATTGGAGAATGTTCTGGTTCGTAACTCTTTACGAGCACTGCACAGAAGCTTACTGCATTGTTGGGCAAGGCAGTAAGTTCTTTCAATCATCTGTTATGTAAGCACCAATGAATCACTATTAAATAATAATCACTATCAGCTCAATGAATCACTATTAAAAACAGATTTTCTGTATTAGATTATGACAATGAGTAATGATTATTTACATTTGTGTGCACATAACCAAGTTTATATATTGCATAATATATTCTCCACTTATCTGATATGTTGGTCCAGGACGAATATCTATCTATACTCATAGAAGTGAATTCAACGACATGCTACCGACATCGATTCCCA